ATGGACCTGCCCTCCTGGAGGCACAGTGGTCGCTGCGGGGATGCTCCGTCGCGGGAGGTGTCCCTTTGCCCGGTCAGGCCCACTAAGAGCATACGTGCCCGAGGATGCGAACGCCGCCCAATGACCCACCCCAGCCAGCCACCGCCTCGCCCCTCCCCTCCCGCCCCGCCTCTTCCCTCCGCCCCCCTCCCCTCCTTCCCCCATCCCGCCCCGCCCCTTCCCTCCTTCCTCGCCCCCCCATCCCTACGCCCCGCCCCTTCCCCGCCTTGCCCCTTTCCTCCTTTCGCCCCCGCCCTGCCCCTCCCCTGTCCAGCCCCCGCCCCTCGGTGTGCCGGCAATTAGGTGGGAGGGAGGGGGGCGGCGCAGGACAAGTGCATGCTCGCCCAGGGCGACGTCGACGTGGCCCTCGGCGCCACTTCCGGGGGGGCGGGGTCGGAGGGGGCAGATCTCTGCGGGGGGCGCCATCGGGAAACGCTGCAGCAGCAGCAGCTGCAGCAGCAGCAGCAGGAGGAGGAGGAGGAGGAGGTGGATGAGGAGGCGGAGGAAGAGGAGGTGGACCACTGCAAACCCAAGAGTCGTTAACGATGTTGGAATAAACCCTTCCTTCAAGTTCCCTTTGTTCATTTTCATTGAGGAAACTGCCCCGTTGGAAGACAACCTTTTGAATACACTGAAGCATGCCAAAACATTGTTCTCGGGATTCCAACGCCACGGATCAACCTGCCTGTTGCGTTTTGACGATTCTGACTCGTGCCAAAACGCCATTTTTGGGACATCAACGCCGCGAAGGAACGTACATAACGGTTGCACCCTCAGAATTCTTGACGCTTCGCGTATCCCCACCAGCAGAGCATTTTGCTTATTGCACGTGCGTTTGCTTTCATTGCATGTCCTACTGCAGTTGCTTCTGTTGTAGTTCTGCGAGCTGGCTCGCCGACACTGGCGGCCGTGTTCGCAAATTCGCACCGTTCCGCCGCCCCTGACGTCGCTCCCGCTCCCTGGCGATCGCCTTGGAGCCGCTAGCCAAACAAGTATCCCCACCAGCCGCCCAGCTCCGTTCCTAGCTACGCACCGCTTTCCGGTTAACCAGCAGCGGCAGCGATCCCCAGTACGCGGCATGGCACTTGCACTGAGCTGGACTGGCGTCCCGGCGTGCAGTCCCTAATTCCACCTCTGGCACCCCTGCCTCAGAAATGCAAGATGCATCAGCTTCCTTGGGCGTTCCAGACCAGCCATCCAGTTCCACCAGCCGCTGCTGCACCTCAGCTGCCGCTTCTGAGTGCTGGCCCGGCTGGCTCGCGTGTCGCTTAGTAGCTAATTCGGCTGGCCCGTGCCCCAGACCCTCTTTCGCCGCCTGCCCTCTGCTGCGCGGCCGCGACCCCCCCCCAAAGAAACCAACAAGTATATCCCCACCAGCCCATCCAGAATTGATTGCCAGTTTTCTTGAGGCCTCTTTGGAGGCTATCTTGAGCCATGCTCGGCTATTGGTTGTCGGAGGCGATCTTGAGCCATGCTCGGATATCTTGGGCCATCTTGAGGCTGCCTTCAGGCCTCTTGGAGGCCTGTGGAGCCATATTGGGCCAAACAGGGCGGGGTGGAGGGTCTTTGGGGAGCCCTCTTGGGGCTCTTTGGGGTGTCTGGGAGGCCTCGTGGGGCCGTCTTGGGCACCATGATTCAAAAAGAGGGGGGAAGAAATCCCCCCCCCCCCCCCCCATCGGAGGCTCTCAAATGGAATATTGGGGCCCTCTTGGAGCGCTCTTGGGCGCCTCTTGGGCGATCTTGGGGCCGTTTTCGGCCTTATTGGGCCCCTCTTGGGCCTCGTTTGGGCCATCTTGAGGCTTCAAAAGCCCATCGGATGCGAAAAGGCGATAATGCCAAAGACATGGATTTTCCATTGGTGTTTTGAACGGTGCTGGCATCTTGGAGGGCGCCGTGAAATTCTTGCGAATTCCCAAACGAATGCACGCGGCGCTAACGCGGGAGCCACATTTTGAACATGTGTGCCCCTCAATACAGAAGCTCTTGCAACTTTAAAAACGAATGTGTTCGGCGCTGAGGCGGGGACCACATTTTGAAAACCACCCGCTCTCCATTTGTGAAAGTGTTGCCAATGTTGAAGTTTCAGGGTAGTAAATGGTGAGGAATTCTCATGCAAAACGACCGGCCCGCCCCAACAATTGGCTTCGGGATGCGACAGGGAGGTTATTCCCAGCCCTCCTTGGTTGGGCATTCGATCTTAATCGGAGCACCGCGGTCGCGTCTTCCTCCTCCTCCTCCTCCTCCTCCTCCTCCTCCTCCTCCCGCCTACTCCCGCCTCCTCCTGCCCTCTCTTCGCCGTCGTTGGGGGGCTGCGACCTGCGAAACTGCCCCCACTTTCGAGGGCTGCTGGTGAGTCCAGCGGAGTGAGGCACCTCGCAGACCTGAGGTCATAGACCTCGCCGCCGCGAAAGGGTTGCGATTTGCAAAACTGTCGCCACTTCGAGGGCTGCTGGTGGGCCCAGCGGAGTGAGGCACCCACCTCGCAGACCTGAGGTAGACCTCGCCGTCCCTGGGCGGCTGCGACCTGCGAAATTGCCGCCACTTCCGAAGGCGGCTGCTGGTGGGTCCACTGGAGTGAAGCACCGCGCAGACCTGAGGTAGACCTTGCCGTCCTTGGGGGGGCTGCGATCTGCGAAGTTGCCGCCACTTTCGAGGGCTGCCGGTGCATCCAGCAGAGTGAGGCACCGCGCAGACCTGAGGTAGACCTCGCCGTTCCTGGGGGGGGCTGTGATCTGCGAAACGGTCGCAACTTTCGAGGGATGCTGGTGGGTCCAGCGGAGTGAGGCACCTCGCAGACCTGAGGTAGACCTCGCCCGCCCTGGGGGGCTGCGATCTGCGAAATTGCCGCCACTTGCGAAGGCTACTGGCGGGTCCAGCGGAGTGAAGCACATAGCAGACCTGAGCGAGACATCGCCGTCGATGGGGGGCTCCGATCTGCGAAACGGTCGCCACTTTCCGAGGGCTGCTGGCGGGTCCAGCGGAGTGAGGCACCGCGCAGAGCCGAGGTTGAACTCGCCGTCCTTGGGGGGCTGCGATCTGCGAACTTGTCGCCACGTTCCAGGGGTTTTGGTGGGTCCAGCGGAGTGGGGCACCGCGCAGACCTGAGGTTGACCTCGCCGTCCCTGTGGGGGCTGCGATCTGCGAACTTGTCGCCACTTTCGAGGGCTGCTGGTGGGTCCAGCGGAGTGAAGCACCGCGCAGACCTGAGGTAGACCTCGCCGTCCCGGAGTGAGGCACCGCGCAGACCTGAGGTAGACCTCGCCGTTCCTGGGGGGCTGCGATCTGCGAAACGGTCGCCACTTTCCGAGGGCTGCTGGCGGGTCCAGCGGAGTGAGGCACCGCGCAGACCTGAGGTAGACCTTGCCGTCCCTGGGGGGGCTGCGATCTGCGAAATTGTCGCCACGTTCCAGGGCTGCTGGTGGGTCCAGCGGAGTGAGGCACCGCGCAGACTTGAGGTAGACCTCGCCGTCCCTGGGCGGCTGCGATCTGCGAAATTGACGCCACTTTCGAGGGCTGCTGGTGGGCTCGCCACTTTCGAAGGCGGGGTCCTGAGCGGGACCAGCGGGTGTGTCCAGCGTGTTGGGGCATTGCGAGGACTTGAGCGGGACCTCGCCGTCCTTGGGCGGCCATGTCATGTTGTTCTTCCCCCGCCGACGTTTCAAGCCCCTTGCCCACAGTCTCCTTTTGGACCTAGCGTCTTCCTTACTGACTCAGGTGTTCACTTAGTGATACATCGTTTGTTCCTTTGATTGGGGACCTGCGAACCTTCCGAATGCCGCTCGCAGAAGTATTTGCGTCCATGTCACGTCGCCGCCTTCTCGTCAAATATCCCAAGCTACTCCTGCCCCGCATTGCGCAGGGGTTGGGCACGTCGTCGTGGTAATGTACACAAGAAGAATGGGCGAGGAGGAAGAGGATGAGGAGGAGGAGAAGGAGGAGAAGGAGGAGAAGGAGGGATGAGGAGGAGGAGGAGAAGGGAGAAGAAACGGAGAAACAATATGAGACGGAGGAGGGAGGGAAAGAAGAGGAGGACGAGGAGGACGAGGAAGAGAACGATGAACAGGAGGCGGGGGAACGAGGAGTAGGAGGGGGAGGGCGAGGAGGAGGAGGAGGAGAAGGATTAGAAGGAAAAGGAGGAGGAGGAGGAGGAGCAGGAGGAGGAGGGAGGACGATGACGAGGAGGAGGAGGAGGAGAGGCAGGAGGAGGAGGAGGAAGAGAAAGAGGAGGAAGAGGAGGACGAGGAGGGAGGAGGAGAAGAAGGAGAAGGAGGAGAAGGAGGAGGAGCAGGATCAGGAGGAGGAGGAGGAAGCGGAGGAGGAGGAGGAGGAGGAGGAGGAGAAGGGACAAGACGATGGGGAGGACGAGGAGGAAGAGGAGGAGGAGCAGGAGGACAAGGCGGCGGAGGAGGAACGAACGACGAGCTTTCCATCCGCCAGGAGCCAGGAGGAGGAGCAGGAGGAGGAGGAGGAGGAGGAGGAGGAGGAAGTGGAGGAGGAGGAGGATGAGGAGGCGCACGGCGGAGGGGGGCGTGAGAGAGGTGGGAAGTGTCAGACCGTGCGGGGCAGTGGGTTGGGAATCGTCGGTTTGCCCATCGCCGCGTGACCCAAGTGCAATGCGACATGTTGACGGGCGCCGCTGCACGACTCCGCTGCGTGATTCTGACAAACTCACTGCCATTCGAGCGCATGTTCTCCCGAGGCGTTAGCATGATAGCGGAGCGAGGTCAACAGGGCTGTGGATCAGCTTCAGCAGCCAGCCGAGGCTCGGAATCTGACCAGTCGCGGAGAGTGGTCTGAATGGTTTACGGCACATGTAGGATCGTAGCAGCAGGTGGCGCATCATTTTCCACTGAAATACGGCCACATATGCCACACTTAATGGTGTCGATACTTACATCAAGGACAAAGCGACGCAACAACATACACCAACCTAAACCAGGCACTCAGGACCAGTCGATCGTGGAGGCTTCTCCAGCCGTCTTGGCTTGTCAGAAGCCCAGACATCGAGAATGCCCCGAACCGTCACATATGTTATGGAAAAATCAATGATTCGGATTTGCTCATGGAGGCCTCGTGTAGCCCTCTTGACCCGTATACGGAGCCTCTTGGGCCGTCTGGAGGCCATTTTGGGGCCGCCCGAGCTACCTTGAAGTCACAATGACCTCTGGAACAATATTGGGCAGTCTTGGCGACGTTGTGGGGGCCTCGATGGCATCACTGGGTCTCCAGGAGGCCCCATTGGCCCAGGAATCTGGTGAGGCAGGCGTGTACGACATTGGTCTGGCGGGATGCACCAGCAAACCTTCTTTCCAGCCACTTAGCTTTTCGGATCCTTCTCTTTCCTGTGTTTGTTCAGCCCTACACGCGTTTTATACGGCCGAGGCCACGCGGCCCTCGCAGGATCACAGGCCAGGGGCCCGCCGTTTTGAGCCCGCAAAGCGGGAGCCACGGTGTGCCCCCCTTTTCGTAAAGCAAGCCCGCAAATCTGGGGCCGTGAGGGGAGGAAGAGGGAGGAGGAACGGGGACAGGGAGAGGAGGAGTCGGAGGAGGAAAAGTAAGATGAGGAGGAGGAGGAGGAGGAGGAGGAGGAGGAGTACGAGCAGAGGAAGGAGAAGGATGACGAGGAGGACGAGGAGGAAGAGGAGCAGGAGCAGGAGCGGGAGCAGGAGCAAGCAGGCTTCTTGGTGACCTCTGGGGCCCCCCCTGGGCGCATCCTGGGGGCCTTCTTGGGGCCTCTTGGGCTCTCGTTGGGGCCGCTGTTGGCTTCATGAGGGCCGCTTTGAGCCTCTGGTAGCATTCTGGGGGATCTCTGGGGCACTGTGGGGCGTTCTTGGTCCGACTGCCCTATGAAGGACGCGGCTGGAAGCGTCTTGGGGCATCCGAACCTCGTAAAGCTGAGAATGCAATAATATTGTCACAACCCGTTCCGGAGAACCGATGCAATGTATTGTCGTTCGACTGGTTTTTGTTTTTAGCTGCGCCTCTTGATCAGCATGCACGTCGCACTTGCATATATGATCCGTGTTGGCGTTGTGGCTCACAAGCAGTTCAGGTTCGCTCTGGCCCCTCCCAGCCTCCGCTCTGGATGCCCGGCGCCCTTCGGGCTGCCAGGCCCTGGCTGGGGCAGCTCGGCGCGGCGTGGGTGGCGAGGCCGCCCGCGTGCCCAGTCTGCCCGGCGTGCCCGCCGTGCCCGGCGTTCGCTTGAAGCGCTCAGCTTCGGGGAACGTGTCCGGCTTGCCCGCCGGCCACGTGCGAGGCGCCAGCGGCGGCGCCTTGCCCCTCGCCTGCCCCGGCAGACGGTTGGGGCTTGTCCGAGTTTTTCCTCGGCCTCTTCGTCGACCTGGTGTTATCGTTCGTGCTCGCGGCGGGGCCGCTGGTGCTGCGGCGGCTCGTGGCCCACGCCCTCGGGGCGCGGGGGCCGACCGACGCCGAGAAAGACGGGCCGCCGGGCCCCAGGTTGCAGCCGCCGCGCTTCGTGGCCATTGGAGCGCGATGGCCGCCCAGGCCCGCACGCTCGATGTGACCGAGAACCAGGTGTATGTGTGTGTGCATCATTTTCGACGACGATCCGATTTTTCGCTGGCATCATCGGTTGCTGCTGGATCAGGGCACCGCGGCTGGCGAGTGGATGGGTGCGACGCTCGACGGGGAGATCCTAGTCGTGCAGCTCGCCGGTCATCACTTCAGTGGCCTTGAAGAGGAACGCGCCCTTCCCCCAGCTCGGTGGGCCTGACCTTCGTGGGCGACTACGCCGGCTGAGTCGCGGTGGAGGACGTGCAGCCCGAGGAGCAGCCCGCGTGGGTGGCGGAGATGAGGCGAGGACCGTGTCGCGACCCGCGCGCCCTGCCGACCCCGCCGCCGGCCCGCGGCAAGCGGGTCACCGTCCCCGCCGCTTTCGCAGACCTGAAGCCCCAGGACGACCCGTCGTGGCCGCCCTGGGCCCCGAAGGTGCTGATCGAGTTCATCGACGCGGTGGATGGCTCAAAAATGCCGTTGACGTGGCACTGGGTCTGGGTCGAGCAGTCCGGCGTTCGCCGGCGGAGCGGGCCCTCGCGCGAGCTGACGGTTATTTTCGAGGTGCCGCACTACGCCCTGGTCTACGACAGGCTGGGCCCGACCATCCCGGCGAGCTTCGAGCGTGGCCAGCCGGCCCTCCAGATGCAGCCAGCGCGCGGTGCTTTCGTCATCCGACGTTCGAGGGCCTCGACCTGGCGCAGGGCAGCGAGCTCGACGAGACGGGCGGCGTCGCGACGTCCAAGTTCGACGATTTCATCGCTGAGGAGCAGAAGAGTCGCGGGATCATCCTCAAGCAGGAGCGGCTCTGGCGGGAGAGGCAGGATCACGAGTCGAAGAAGCGCGGAAGGGGCGCGGCAGCTGCCGGGTCCGACGAGGGGAAGGGGCGACAGCCGACGAAGCCCGCGCCGAAGGAGAAGGCGCGGGCCATGGCCAAGGCCGGCGACGTCTGACGGCGCCGCGGCGGCGCCACCGCGGACGGGCGCGCCGCCCCGCCGCCCAGCGCGGGGCCCGCTGCTCCAGGGGCTCGCGTCTGAAGGCTGCTCTCCGAGGGGGGCCTCCGAGATCGCCGACGAGAGCCACTCTTCCCTGTTTCCTCTTCCTGGGGGCGATCGCCTCTCTCGCGCCGCTCGACGTGGAGAACGTGTCGCGGCGCCTCAGCATCTGGCCCAGCGCGCTGCGCGCTCGGGCGAGCGGGGTCGGCGAACCGTCGAGGCCATCTCCTCCGGACGCGCTCTGCGACGCCGGGGCCGGCCGGCCGCGGCGGGCGCAGCCGCCCAGCAAGTCGTCGCCGACTGCCGCCCGGGAGTCGGCCATGAAGCGGATCGGGCGGGGGCTACGCGTTCGGACCGGGGCCCTGCCCGAGCTTTGCGGGAGCACCTTCGCTGCGAAGATCTGCGCGGCGGCGCGGGCGAGTGCTCGACCCGCCAAGACCGATGCCCCGACGAGCTCAAGTCTTCAGGATTCCCGACGCCCCCAGCCGGTTGCGGGGCGCGGCCCCGTCTCGCTCGGCTGAGGCCTCGGGCAAGTTTAATTCCGACGCTGCGCGGCAGTCCGCTGACATCATTTCGTCATTTCGAAGCGGGAGATCGTCGAGCCCCACTGGGGCCCTTTCCCCAACCCATCGCTCGAAGGCGAACCGAGGTCGCTCGGTGGAGTTCCTCGCGCGGATGGCGAGGCGCGGGCTGGCGGGCGGCCAACGCCGACGCGAGGCCTGCGCCGGCGCGCTTTTCGTGGCCAAGAAGAGCGGCGACATCCGCGCGGTGGTCGACGCCCGCCAGGCGATTCAGCGTCACCGGCCCCCGCCCGGCGCCACCTTGGCATCGGGCGAGGCGCTGGGTGCCGTCGACCTTCTCGACGCCGTCAGCGCGTCCCCAGAGGGCCGGGCCGACCTCGACGGCGGCTTCGATCCGCCGCGAGCGGGGTCGGCGGCCCTGCGGGGCGGCCCCGCCAGTTCAGCGACCCGCCCTGGGGCTCCTGGATGCGCTTCGACTTGGAGGTCGCGGCCGGCGAGCTCGGGATCTCCACGATCTACGACGAGGCCCAGCCGGGCCCACGTGGCGCCTGACGACGTCATTTGGCTTTGATTCGCCGTCATTCTGTTGCGCTGGAGATGAGCCCTGTGGGTCTGTCATGAGGTCCTTGTCGATGCGATGGACACCGCGGGCCCCGCGGGTGCTCGACGAGGCCCGCCCCCCTCGGCTCCGCGGTGGCAAGGTGGCGACGGCCCTTTGCATGGGCGACGGAAACATGGCTTCGCTCTCGTCCGACGCCCTCAACGAACGGCGGTCCGCCCTCGCCGCCGAGCTGGGCCACCGCGCGCTGCGCTGGCACGAGCTCGAGCGGGCTCGGCCGGGGCTTGCCGCCCTGGGCCTCGACCTCGAGGTCCGACGGGGGCGCCCGCGGCGCGCCCCGCAGCGGGACTGGCAGCTGCGCGCGGCTCTCCACCGCGTCTCGCGCGTGCGCTGACTGGCGCGCTGGCGGCTTCGAAGGATTGTCGGCCAACTGGTGCAATGGTTCCCCGTGCTGCGGCTGGGGGCCGGGCGCCCTCGGAGTGAGGCGCCGTCCAGATCCAGGCTGGACATCGCCATCCACGGGGCTGCGATCTGCGAAACAGTCGCCACTTTCGATGGGCTGCTGGGGAGTTCAGCGTAGCGAAGTACCACCCATACCCATATTAGACCTCGACTTCCCGGGGGGGCTGCGATCTGCGAAACTGTCGCCACTTTCGGCGGGTGCTGGGGGGCGTCGCGGGGCGCTGTCGCGGGCCGCCCGCAGACCCGGCGGCGCGCCATCGAGCGCTTGCTCCCACATTCAGAAGTGCAGGAAGGATGCGGGGAAGCTGGCGGGCGAGCTGGGCCTCGCTCGCTTCTTGCAGCAACAATGAACAGGTCTAGAAATTTTGTCGCGTGCCGCGGCGTCGTGGCGCAGGCAGCCTTGCATTTTGAGCGTACTACCGACAAAAACAACACTCTTCGGCATTGTCCCGCCACTCCTGGAGCAAGATTACGACGCCCACCCCGCAATGCAGATGCCTATCTGTTTTCGTTACTCGTGGCGCGAAATTTGCCTCGGGGCCCAAACATGCCGACTACGGGGGGTCGCAGGGGACGTATTGGACGAGTTGCCGACGCTTCGTGGAGGCCGCCTTCGCGGGGGCCCAGCGAGCCCGCCGATTGCACGCGGCCATGCAGGTCGCCGCCAGCATCGAGGATGCTGGCACTCGTCTGCACGGGCGGGATCGGCCATCGCGAATCCTTTGTATTTCCAGAGGCGTTTCGTTTTTCCGCGGGATATTGGGCGCATGCAACAACCACCAAAAAAACATGATGTACACCCGCCCGAACGAAGTATACACCCACCCAGAAATTTATACACCCGAGCAACAAGATAACACATGTTTCCAGAAAACGACGTCTACACCCACCAAACCCGGTGCACCGAATACTGGCGTATTTCTAGAGACGAAAACCGTCTGGCGCTGAGTCGCCATGTCAGTGCTTGCGGCGAGAGCCGCGTGGCTGGCTCATACCAGAAAGCCGCGGTTTGCTCGCGCGTGCTCCAGGACGGAGGCTTCAGGTTTGTGCGGCCCCGCGCGCGTGGCTTGTTCGGCCATGTGCATCCTGCCAGCCTTGCGGACGATGGAAATGCGACATCGGGATATCATTCGGGGCCACCCGCGGGCGCTGCCGAATATATGCATGCATGGGCGCTGTAAGGCACGGCGGGCGTCGATATTTAGCTCCCCATCACTATCGTCGTCGTCCTCTGCCCCCTGCCACCTTCCCTGTGCTGCTGCCGCAATGACGGATCGGCCCCCCGCGCGTCCTTCTCTTGCCCTTCGTTCCCGCCTTCTTGTCCTCGTCGAGCCTGGGCCCTCGCCCCTCGTTCCTCCGCCGCTGTCACGTGAGTCGCGCCGCGCGAGCGCGCCCCGTATAGCCTGGCAATTCTGGGCCAAGTCCTCTTGTCACTCGATGGACATGAATTGGGTGCTTCGCGCGGGAGTGCCGGGAGGGCCCGAAACATTTGCTGGCCCCATCCACGTCAAAGGACATTTTCTGGTGGGCGATTTACAAGTTGATTTCTAGTGCGTGGATTATACAGAATCTTTGCGCGGCCTGTTGATGGGATTTCTTTTTGTGGGCGGTTTACACATTGATTTCTATTGCGCGGATTGCAAATAGAACCTTCTTTCTTGCGCGGTTTTTCAATCGCATTCCTTTTGTTGGCGATTTACACTGGGATTTATTATGGATTGCAGCCGTAATCCTTTTATGTTGCTTTACCATTGGGTTCCTTGTGCGCGGGGGGTGTTCGAATTGCCTTCTATTGCGCGAATTCCATATAGAACCACGTTTGTGCGACTTCCAGTAGGGTTTATGTTCGCTGGAGATCCGCCCATTGAAATCTACTGCGCGGAGCTATCTCCACCCCTTGAACGACTCGCATTGCAGGCGGTTTGTCTTTTTCATCCGATTTGTCAGAAAGTAGATCGCATCCACCTATAAGCGATCCCCATGAGCATAATACCTAACTGGATGTGATTAGAGGCGGCTCCGTTCCCAATTAGATTCAAACAGAAATGGGCCCGCATCTAATAAGATTATACCCCAGGTAATTCCATCCTTCATGGAGTTCTATTGGAGGTGGGTCCGCCTCGGGTTGGTTTCCAAAAAGGCGGGTCCAGATTGCATGCGATCACATTCACGTGACCCCGTCCAAAACAGGATCCCAGGAGAGAGTGCTTCCCGTCCATGGCAAGATCCATAACAGCCTATGAGAACCGAGTTCTTCTGTGATCGGCATGCATTTCATGTGCCTCCTCCTCAATGAGCTTCTGTTAGAGGTGGACCCACTTCTGGAAGGAGTCCACGTGGCTCAGCAGGCGTCGCAGGGGTTAGCAGGTTACCCAAGCGTTGGCAGAGCTTCGCAAGGCCAGCAGGTGCCAGCAAACATGGCAAGCCCCGTAGGGCATGCCAGTGGCTAGCAGGGCTGATACAGGGCTTGGTCGGGCTTGTCAAGGTTTTGCTTGGCTTGGCAGCTGGATGGCAGAACCAAGGCTGGGCGGAGGGCTAGCTGGGTTTATCCGCGCTTAGCAGTGCTTGGCAGGGCGTGGCTAGACCTAGCATAGCGTAGCAGGGGGCAGCATGACATAGCACGGCATCGCAGTGGCTAGCAAGGCCCAGCGCGGCAAAGCGTAGCAGCGAATATCAGAGGCTTCGCAGGGCTTAGGAGTGATTTTATTAGCGGCGACTCCATCCCCCATAGCATTCAAACAGAAGTGGGACCACATCTAGTACGGTTGTACTCCGATGCTTCCATCCTTTCGTGGGGTTCTATGGGGAAAAAATCGACTTCTAATGGGGCTCCAGTAGAAGGGGGGCCCACACCGCGCGCGAGTCAGTTACCCGTGGCCCCGTCCATATCAGGATCCCAGTAGAGGTGGTCCACCCCATCGTGGGATTCTGTTTGAGCTGAGTCGTTCCGTGTTCGGATTGTATTACATAGTTTCATCATGTGTGAGATTGTGTTAGAAGTGGAATCACCTTTAACCAGATTACATTAGCCATGGGTTTGTCCCTGCTGAGTTTATATCTGATGTGGCCCCGTATGGCTCAGCAGGCATCGCATGGCTTAGCAGGCTATCGAGGCACTGGCAGAGCTTCGCCGCATGGCTAGCAGGCGCCAGCAAATATGGCAAGCCTTAGCAGGGCATATCAGGGGCTGGCAGGGCTTGAAAGGGCCCATCAAGGCTTAGCTGGGCCTGGCAGGTGGCTAGCATAACTGATCAGGGCCGCAGTGCTTAGCAGTGCCTAGCACGGTTCGGCTAGGCCTAGAAGGGCATGGCAGGGGCCAGCAGGGCTTAGCACGGCATCCCATTGGCTAGTCGCAGGGGGCCCCAGGGATTTTGGATTCGATTAGAGGTGATTCAAGTTCCAAGAGGATTCGCATGGAGGTGGATCCTCTTCCAATAGTATCACATTCCCGCCGGCTTCAGTCTCGAGCATTTCCTAATGGAGGTCGGCCCGCTTCTAATGGAAGCTCTTCGAGCGCTGCTCGCTTGATTTCGCTGCGACGTGGCCGCCTCGCGCCACTGGATGTCTCCATTGAGCATGGCCGCGCGGACTGCTAGATCCATGGAATGACAATGAACATGCTTCGGAAACGCAAGGGAGAACGCATGGACATATGAAAGGAACAGCTTGTGCATGCGGAATACACATATACACACAGAGATGGGGGGGATAGAGAGAGAGAGAGAGAGAGAGAGAGAGAGAGAGAGAGAAAAAAAACAAAAAAAAAAAAAAAAAAAAAAAAACATAAAACAAGAGAGAGAGAGAGAAACAAAACCACAATGAGGGGGAGCAGCAACAATCCAAGTACAGGAACATTCGCATAATCAAGAGCGACAGAGAAGGAGAGAGAGAGAGAGAGAGAGAGAGAGAGAGAGAGAAGAGAGAGAGAGAGAGAGAGAGAGGAGAGAGAGAGAGAAGAGAGAGAGAGAGAAGAGAAAGAGAGAGAGAGAGAGAGAGAGAGAGAGAGAGAGAGAGAGAGAGCGAGAGAGAGAGAGAGAGAGAGAGAGAGAGAGAAAGAGAGAGAGAGAGAGAGAGAGAGAGAGAAATAAAGAGGGGACACCACAAAGATGGCAGGGCCGCCGCGGGCGCGGCGGCGGAGTCGCCGCGTGCGCGGCGTGCTCTTCGTCAGAAGTGGATAGCGCTGCCACGCGCGACGCGGCCGTGCCGCTGCGCGCATTGCGTTTCCCATGCGGACTTGGCCTGCGTAGCCGCGCGCTCGGCCGCCGCCGCGGCGACGTCCTCCCCCCCCCCCCCCCCGCGCGTCGAGCGCGTCGGCCCTGCCCCTTCGCTGTCTTGTTTTGTTAGCAAGAACGGCTTCCCTGCTCCCCGGCGCGCGGTGCCGCATCCCATTCGAATGGGCGGGGGCCGCCAGGGCGGCGGCCCAGCCCCTTCGCGCGCGGCATTGCTTCTTCCGCGACTCGCCTGGGCCGCCGCGCGCGCGGCGTTCCCAGCCCGCCGCGCGTTGCTTCTTGTCGCGCAGAGTTGGACGCGGCGGCCGCTCGCGCGGCGGCCCTGCCCCCCCCCCCCCCCCCCCCCGCGCAACCCCCGCGCAAAGTTGTTTTTCTCCGCGCGCGGTGGGCCGAGACTTCCGAGCCCGCGGCGGCTTCAGCGCCTCGCGCAATTTATTCTGGCGCGCCGAACGGGCCAAGGCCGTCGCGCGCGCGCGGCGCCCCGCCCATCGCGCATTGGTTCTCTTCCGCGCAGTGTGGGTCAGTGCCGCCGCGCGCGCGGCGGCCCGTCGAGTCCCTTTTCCATTGCGCACGCAGCCCGGGGCCGCCGCGGCGGCCCGCGAGCCCGCTTCGCAAGCGCAGGGCAAGGGCCCCGGGGGCCGCCTTGCGCGCCGCGCCTTTCCCGCGCCCCGTCTCTGGTCATTGGTGTGTGCATTCTCGTTTCTTGAGGCATATTTGTTTGTTCTGCAGGGCCAGCCATTGAATTACTACCCGTTCTCCTTGGGCCCCTTGCAGGATTTGCAGATTTCCCATTGGGTCTCCTGCGGAACCCATCCGCGCTCCCCTTCGCCCATCGAGTGCTCATTGTTCTGATTACGTTGGTCCCGCTTTGGATATATATATATATATATATATATATATATTCTCTGTGGGCGTGGCGCAGACTCCCCATCTTAGCTGTCGGTGCTCATTGCAACGTTTTTTTGCCACGCCGAGGGGGCCAGTGGATTACGACGCGGGAAGTGCCGTCCGAACAGCTCCCGGCATCGCGGCAAATTGCTTGCCAGAGCAAACGCGCTGCGCAAATGAATCTGAAGTTTGCCTTCAAATTGCTTCTCCCGGACAGCAGGGCTCCTTGTTCGCGGGGAAGATGCAGACACCCCCGGGATCTACAAATATTGAGCTTATGAAAATATTATTGGGCCGGTTTGGCGCTGTTCGGGGGGTCTCCGGTCAATCGCGTGGGCCACCCAGAAACTTCCGACAACCACCCGACGAAATTGGGGAGGTGCCCGTGCGGGGAGGCCGCACGAACGAACCGCTAGGAAGAGCTTTCGCGCAAGCGCGGGCGCTCCCGAGGGCACGGCCTAGGGAGCTTCTCGGAGCCAGGCTGGCTGCCGGGGGAAGACGGGAGAGGGACGAGTGCGAGCAGGCTGACGGTGACGAGGACGAAGGAAAGAGCGGCAGAAGAAACCAGCGAAGTCGCAGGGGGTTGTTTGGGATCGCTCCTCCTCCTCCCCTGCCCTCCCCCTCCTCCGTCGCCCTTGGTCCTTCGCCCCTCGTCTCTCATCCTTACCCTTCTCCTGTTCATCCTCCTCCTGCTCCTCGTCTTCCTCCACCTTTTTCTCCTCCTCGTTTTCCTCCACCTTTTTCTCCTCCTCGTCCTCCCCCTCCTCCTCCTCCTCCTCTTCCTTCTCCTCCTCCTCCTCCTCTTCCTCTTCCTTCTCCTCTCTCCTCTTCCTTTTCCTCCTCCTCCTCCTCCTCCTCCTCCTCCTCCTCCTCCTCCTCCTCCTCCTCCTCCCTCACCCTTTTCATTATTCCCTCCTCCCTCTTGCCCCTTGCTTCCCCCTCCCCCAGCCGAAATTATGAGTTGCTTGGCATGCAATGGAAACGGGCAGGGCGCGGAGGAAGATCAGCAGCAGACGGGCCATGAGAAGAGTGACCGACGATCAATGAGTACGTCAGTGGCGGAATGCCTCAAAGGGGGGAAACGTCGGCCCCCAATCGCCCATGCATCGCCAATGATGGCCCGATAGCCCACCCCGCCCAGAAACGACCGGACTCGTTATCACGGGCGTATCGTCGATCAATCGGCAACGTATCGTTTGTTCCAGTTCGATGTTTCCCCCACTGAGGTGATCCCGCCTTATCGTTGCCCATCACAGGAACAGCACCAGCAGGACCAGGACCAGGAGCTGGAAGCGGTGGGCGACGACGACGACGACGAAGACGACGACGGCGGCGGCGGCGGCGCCGACGGCGGCGATGGCGAGGGGCGAGTGCGAGCTCAAGGGCGGCGGCGGCAGGCGTCGGCTCGTGCGGCGAAGGCGAGGGCGGCGACGGCGGCGACCGCGACGACGGCCGCTGCGTACGGAGGCGGCGGCGGCGGCCGCTGACGGTGACCGACGCCCGAGGGGCGGGCCAAGCGGCCGCGGGTGGAGGGCGCCGAGGGGGCGGGGGGCCGCGGCCGTGTCGGCTCCCGAGGGACAGGCGCCGCGCGAGCAGCGAGCCGCGACGGGGGCGCGCGGCGGCACCTGCGAGGGGGGCCTCGACACCAAGCGGCCATGTCGTGGGCAGCCGTGCCGCCGCCGCCCTGGCCGTACGCCGCCACCGCCGCCTTTGGTCGTCCGTGTCGGGGCTTCGCGTCGTCGTCGTTGTCGTCGTCGTCGTCGTCGTCGTCGTCGCCGTCGTCGTCGTCGTCGTCGTCGTCGTCGTCGTCGTCGTCGTCGTCGTCGTCGTCGTCTCGGATGTCTGTTCGGAGCGCTGCGGGCACGCATGTCGTGGGCAGCCTGGCCCGCCTTCGCCGCCGTCTCGATCCGCGTACCTCCCCCGAAGCGCCGCCGGGGGGGGGGCTTCTGCCCAGAGGGCCGCCGCTGTCGCCGAGGTCGATGTCTCGATCGTTGCCTCCTCGAGCATCCTCCTCCTCCTCCTCTTCCTTCTCCTTCTCCTCCTCCTCCTCTATCCGCGGCCCCAGAGTTCCCCACCCCTTCCCTGGGGAGCAGTTTCTAATCCCAGGTCTACTCATGATCGCCTTAGGGCCCCGAAATTGCCCTTGGAGGCCGAAATGGGGGAACGGCACCTGCATTCAAAGAGCGATCATTCAGATGTACAGGTCCTCGATCCTCGGTCCACGAGGTCCTTCGATCCTCACAGACCCTCGTCGTGGTTGTTCACAACGCCAAGGGGTCTGGGGTCCTCGAGGGTCCTCGAGGGATCAAGCCAAGTGGAGGGATCAAGCCAGGTGGAACGAGGAGCAGCCTGTCGATCAACGATACGCTAGGGTCCTCGATCGTCCTGGGTCCTCGGTCCTCCAGGGCCCCTCGAGGAGCCTTGAGGAGATCCTCGGCCCTCCAGAGTCGTCCATCCTCGGCGATTCTCGGTCCTTGAGGATCCTCCGTTCTCGAGGGCCTTCGATCCTCGAGGATCCTGGGCCCTCGAGGATCTCTCCGATCCTTGATGGCCCTTTCGATCCTCGAGGGCCTTTTGAGGGATCGAGCCAGGCGTCCGAGGTCGTGATTTGCTCTCAGCGTGGCTCCCTGGAGGTCTGGACCCAGTCTCTGGGGACCGACTCTTGTTCCCGAGTTGTTGCTTGACGGTCTCCAGCCCTGGCACATCGTACACAAGTGCCCCCAGAGGCCGACAAAGGTCAAACCAACCTAAGCCGTGATTCTTGTCTACTCGGAGGTGACACCCGAAGGCGGGGCCCGTCCACCGGCCAGCCTGCGACAGAGGAGCAAGAGCGGTGGCGAGCCAAAACAGCATCCACGCGCCCTCTGGTCGCGCTTCGGCCACCCATGGGCCAGTGCTCACAGGGGGAGGAGGAGCAGGAGGAGGAGGAGGAGGAGGAGTAGGACGAGTGTAAACCCAAGAGTCATCGACGATTTTGGAATAAGATCTCCTCCAAGTTCCCTCTTCACATGCCCCTACAACTTTTCATTTCCACTGAGGGAACTGCGTCGTTTGAAGACAACCGTTTGAAGACCCTGAAGCATGCCAAAACATTGGTCTCGGGATTCCAACGCCACGGATCAATTTGTCTGTTGCGTCTTGACGATCCTGAATTGTGCCATAGCGCCATTCCTGGGACTTCAACACCGCGAATCAACGTAACTAGTGCACCCTCATAATCCTGAATCCTTCCAAAACACAATTTCTGGTACGCTGATCAGGGGAATCCTTGAAACTCGCGGCGCTAAGACAAGAGCCACATTTTGAAAACCACCAGCCCTCAATCCGTGAAGCTCTTGCGAGTGTTTTTTGTTTAACGTATGTCGAATGCACGCGGCGCTAAGGCGAGAGTCACATGTAGAAAAAGGCCAGCCCTCAATCCCTGAAGCTCTGGCGAGTTTTTGTCAACGAATGCGCCCGGCGCTAAGGCGAGAGCCAAATTTTGAAAACCACCCACCCTCAATCCGTGAAATTCTTCAAAATACTTAAAACGAATGTGCCCTGCGCTAAGGCGAAGGAGGAGGAGGAGGAGGAGGAGGAGCAGGAGGAGGAGGAGGAGGAGGAAGGGGAAGGGGGAGGGGGAGGGCGGGGGGAGGAGGGGGAGGGAGGTCGCATGCCTCCTGCCCCTCGGAGAAGGTCTGGGGATCGAGCCAGGTGGAACGAGGAGCAGCCCGTGGAGGAGGAGCTCGCCGATCTGGCGACGCCGGTGCCGGCCTGCGGCACGGCTACGCCAGAAGCCGCCGGAGCGCAGGCCTCGGAGGAGGACTCCGGCGACCCAGAAAGGATCGAGGATTGAGGACCCTCTTCCTCCCCCTCGTCGTCCATTGGAATCCTCCTCCTAGATCATATTCCTCCTCCTCCTAGTCGATCAGCCTTCTCCTCCTCCTCGATCGTTCTCCTCCTCGATCATCTTGCTCCTCCTTGTCGATCAGCATCCTCCTCCTCGAGGCCCGAGGGTCGAGCCAGAAAGCTAACTCTTTGATCAGGAACTGCGGATGCCGCCGTGCAGGCTCGCAAGGGTGCCCTGGAGGCTCCTGGCGCGTTCAGCGACATAGACATCCCTCCCCGAGCAGCGATCCTGTGAAGGTAGGCGTCGAGAACGTCGAAAGCAATCCCGATTTCCTTGGGGCCCCGAGGGGGTGGCTGGATCCAGCCCGCTGACAACTGGACTACGCCGTCAAATTCGTTGAGCAAGATAATAATATGTTCCTGGAAGGTAAGGGGACAGTATCTGCAATTCGACATGAACTGTGTTCATTACACAACATGGGGCATCGTAGATCACCTGTCGCTCGTTTTGGCTTGCGAGACAGGGCGCTCGGCGTCCTTCGGCATCCTCTTATGTGTCCGCAAGCTCCTGGCACTCTGTACTGCTGGCGATGTGTCGCTGGCTCACTTCTGGCGCCCTTCGGAGCTGAATGCCGCCGACGGCGGCTCACGGCTCTGGGAGGGCGAGGCTGCGCTGCTGGCGCAGGCCGCCGGCGCCGCGTTCGTCCAGGGGCCCGTCGGCGTCGACAATCTCGGGCCGGCTATCCAGCGAACTCGCGCGGGAGTTGCGCGCGATGGCCATGCGTTTCGGCTTTCCGGCGCCCAACTTCTTGACGAGGGCGGCGGTGAAGGAGATCGCGTAGGAGCGGTGCCTTCAGGCGCTCGCCACCCTGCGCCAGTTCCCGACGAGCGCCGGGCGGTTTTTCGCTTCACTGACCGGCGTGGACGCGGGGGCGGCCGACCTCGTCGAGGACGGGTTCTTCGCGGGGGGCGCGCGCGCCGAGGCGGCGCGGTTGATCTACGGCGCTGGCCTTGCCCCGGACCTTGAGAGCGCTCCGAGCGTGGCTGCGTTTCTGTCCAGCAACTACCAGAGCGCCAGCGCTGTGGACGGTGGTAGCCGCGATCGCGCACATGATGGGGATGTTGGCGATCTCCACCGAAGCTACCATGACTCTTGTGATGTTCTCGGCATGCCTCCGTCCACGCGAAGCTTGGAACCTGCGCGCCGAAGACGTGGCACCGCCGTGCTCGCCCGCGTGAACGGCGGCGCTGAACTTTCACCCAGAGGAGCGACTGCTGACCTCCAAGACCTTTGCCACCCACGAAAGCTTCCCGCTGGGGAACCCACAGCGCGAGTTCCTGAACCAGGCGGTCGTCCACCCGGCCAAGTTCGGGGGGTCGGGGCGTCTCTTCGCGTTCAGCATGCATCACTTCGGCGTGATCTTTCGAAGGGTGCAGGAGCATCTGGACCAACCAGCACGGCGCGTGCCCTGCCAGCGTGCACTTAGCACGACATCAGTGAATAGACCATTCCTCGGTGCACGCTGAAACGCGCACTTGCGCTGTAGTGCCGACGCGCACGGCAGGGGGGAAGGGTGAGGGAGGAGGAGGAGGAGGAGGAGGAGGACGAGGAGGAGGAGGAGGAGGCGGATGTGGAGGAGGGAGGATGGAAAAACGTCGCATTCCATTATAAGCACTTCCCTGGCGTGGCGTTTAGCTGTCCGCAGCAGATCCTCACCGACGTGTTCCTTCTACCTGTCCTGAGCACGCGGGCACTCTGGTGTACACCAGCGTTGCGTTGCACACGGATGCTGCGGTGAAGACAGGCGGCGTGGTGTGCATAGGCGTTGCGGTGCACGTTAGCTTTGTGGTGTAGACAGGCGTTGTGTTGCACATGGCTGCTGCGGTGTAAACGTTCGCTATGGTGTACACCGGCGCTGTGGTGCACGCAAGCACTGGTGTACCCAGGCGCTGCGTTGCACACGACAGTTGCGGTTTACGCAGGCGTTGTGGTGTACGCAAGCGTTGTGGTGCACGCGAGCACTGTGGTGTACACAGGCGCTGTGGGGCAGATCGCCACCTACATGCTGCTCGCGTCGTCGTCGTCGCTCCTCGCTCGTCGCTCGTCGCTCGTCGCTCATCGTCGTCGTGCGCGCGGGCGCGGCTGTGGTGCCGGAGCCGCACGGCCGGGGGGTGGCGTTATTTCGTACCCCCCCCCGCCCCCCCCCAATGAAGCCCGTCATCGCCAACGATTAAGAAACGCGTTCCAGCCACGGCGTTAGCGCTGGCCCGCATTGCGGCCCAGCGCGGAGAGTTGCCACCGTTCGCGCGCGTCCAGCCAACGTCTGGACGGTCGCGCCTGGTTGCGCGCTCGAGCCCGTCGCCCCTTTCGACGGGCATTCCTCCTCTTCCTCCTCCTCCTCCTCCTCATCATCATCATCCTCTTCCTCCTCCTCCTCCTCCTCCTCCCCCCTATTCCGTGGCCATTTTGGCTCAGGGCTAAACGTTGTAAAGGGATGTAGACGGCCGAGAATCAGATATTAGTTTTGGCCATTCCGCGGGCTTGGCCCCAGTGCGATTTTAGGCCACAGCGGCCTCGTGGCGATCGCTCTGCCCAGTCCTCTTTCCCGTCTCGCGCCCAGCTCAGTGATTCGTGGGATAGCTGGCGATGAGCAAGAGCTCATCGCGTTCGCGGGCCTGCAGTCCATGCTGTTGCACATCCAGAAGAACTTGCCCACAATGTTCACGGCTCAGCTCTCGACCGTCAAGCAGGTCGTCGCCGCCATCCGCATTGCCGCCCAGCAGCAAGCCACGACACTGGACGACCCCAAGCGGCAGATCGAGCAACGCAGCAAGCAGCTCAAGGACGCCGAGGACAGGATCGAGAACACCAATCAGGAGCTCAAGAGGGCGCAGTCTTCCAGCGCCAGCAGCACCGCATCCACGCCACCGGACCTCACCCACACTGGCAAGAAATCTTGGGCTGAAGCGCCGGGGGGAGAACGTCGACAAGACGTTGATCGCCGCCGCTGGGCTGGCATGCGGCCTCGCCCAGTATCCAAGAATACCCGCCACGCGTATTGCGAGTGGTCGAAGTTATTTCTCCCGAGCACCTAGGCAAGCAGCATGCCGAGGCCAACTTGCATATAGTCTCCCAGACTTTCAGCCTCCTCGCAAACGCCACCGACGCCCGCGCATTTCAGCTTGCCGTCGACAATGCCGGCGTCCAGTGGGGGGATCTGCGTAACAAGTGGACATGTGACATCAAATTGCGAGGTGTTTCGCCTTTCGGGATCAAGGGCAAAAGCCGCGCCGCCAGCACCGTCTATAAGCCAATGGAGAACCTCTTCAAGACCAGCGGCAAGGGGGCGGCCACGTGCAAGCCGCGGGCCAACGGCTACAATAACCACATGCTCATCACCGACGGTGACGACATATGGGAACTTTCGAAGTTGCAGGTCGCCCACCGCCCCCAGGGCATGGCTGCGTTCACTTCCTCGATCCAAGAAGAGGCCTGCCGCGACTCGAACATCACCGACAAGGGCGCCCAGGCCATCCTCGACGGAGCTCATGTCATGAGGGGCCAGCGCGCATCGCCAAGGGCTCAAGGTTCACGAGACACTTCGGGGACGACAGTGCGCTCTGAGCCAGATGGTGAGCAGCCGCCCTCGCCACCAGTTGTTTTCCCCTCGCCTCCGTCGCCCCCCCTCCTCCCCGCGTCAATCCGTGCGTTCTCAAAGAAAACGCCAAACGAAACGCCAGTTCTTGTCCCCGAGAAGCCCTGTGCGACATTTCACGGCGCGCACGCAGAATCCGAGCAGGCGCGCGGCAAATATTCTGCCCCCCCCCCCCCCCGCCTCCTCCGCAAGCGCGCCGTCGCGAGTATGCAGGGGGCCCGCGGGCGCCGCGCGGGCATCGATGCCGCCTCCAGGGGCCGTCGGGGCATGGTCATCTTGGGATCGTTTCTCGACCAGGTCGCGGGCGGCATCATCGCTGGCGCCCGGGGGTCTCCGCGCGCAGAATTTGACGAGCGCTCCTTTTCAGAGCGAGTGCGGCGCCGCATCTCGGCGCTGACGTTGAGCTGCCCCGACGGCGCCGCCCAGATTGCGAGCGCGCACGTCGATCCCAGCTGGGCCGAGCGCGCAGTCTGGAGGGCCCCCCCCCCCCCCTCCATCGAGCAGCATCTCCCCCCCCCCCCCCCCCCTCTCCACCGCCATCATCACGGTCGACTTGTAACTTTCGCGTCTCATGCGACGGTCGCTCCTCCGTCGAGGCGGGGGGGGGGGGGGGGGGCCCAGGCAGGTTTATCCTATGTGCGCGATCAAACTGTGCCTGGCTTCTGCGAAGTCGAGCAGACTGAGCGCGCGCAGCTTCGCATTGCGAATGGGCATGCTGGCGATGGCAGGCTCGGCCGCAATGGTGTGTGCCCGTTGCCGAACTCTGAGACTACGACCCCCATGACATTCCAGAATGGAGAATTTCGGACCAGAGGATACCCTTTTCGAGCACGCTCCCAGTTGCCTTGGCTGGAAGAATTTGAATGGCAACATGCAACATTGCAACTGACCGCCCCGAGTTAAGCCGTTCCCCGGCATTTGATCACGAACAACCCGGCCGGTGCGAATCCCCCCGACCGCATCGGGGATATCCAAGTTTTCGCGCGTTCCGCTTCCTTTCAGGCCGCGCAGCATGTCCAGCAGGAGAGGGCCTCGTCGGTGGAAGCCAAGTTTTCTGACGTCGCATGGCGCCGCGAGCCGAGGTATGCAGAGCGACGCGCGGGCGCCCGCATCTCGAGAAGTTCTTCTTCGCGGAACCGCGCGTGGACTGATTGGCCAGGCTTCCACGCTCACCTCCGCCCCCGCCAGAACGGCAACCTCAGCGCGCTCGAACAGCAAGTCCTCTCCGACCCCGAGCCCCCCCCCCCCCCCCCCCCCCCCCCCCCCCCCCCCCCCTCCAGAAAATAAGCCACCCTTGCCCGCGTCAGGAGTGTGAAATCTGCCTGGGCCAAGTCTCGGCCCACCTTGCGTCTCGCGGCTGCGAAGGGCCCCTAAGGAAGTGCCAGCCCCGACCCCGATGAAGCCAACGAGATCTTCGCCCAACTCTGGGGGAAAGTATTCGCGGACATTGCATGACCAGCCATCGAGTCGAGTAACGAGTTCCTGAGGCACATCACGCGCCGAGGACAGCGGCGAGCAGTTTGTCACTCACGATCACCAGAGGCATGACTGGATCGTCGAGTTTGAGAGTTTCACGCGGCGCCTGCACGGCAAGTGCGACGCGGCCGCCAGGCCAGATGACATCCCCTATTCGGCTTGGAAGCAAGGTGGTAATGTCGTTACAGGCGCTCGCTACTCCCTGTACCTCCACCTCGTTCAGAACGGCAAGATGCGCCCTGAATTCAACCACTCCTGCTATGTCCCCCCCCCCTAAAGGCGACCTTGCCAATTGTGGGCTCGAAGAGAGATCTCCCGAGGACGCCGGGCCGCTCGCCCTCTCGAACAGCGGTGGCGAAGTCTTCGCGTCGCTGATCGCCCAGCCGTCGCATGCCGTCGCATGCCGAACAGTTCGCGAAGTGCAGCGTGGGCCAGTCAGGGGGAGGGGTCTGATCGATAACGTTGTGGTACTTGGTGGGCACCTCCTTGGGTGGGGAGCTATCGCGGGTCATCGCGATGCGGCTGGATGCAGTTTTGATTGTAGAGTTGCCCTCCCGAGCGCATGGCCTACGTGGATTTCCGCTGCCCTGCGCCCCCAGAACTTCCCCGCGTTTCTGATTTCCGCCATGCGGAAGCTTCGCCGAGACGTCTTCGCGGTCGCGGGGGGAAAAAGGCCCGCCCGCTGCTGATCCTTGGTGCCGGCGGGGGATGAAGCAGGGCTGCCCGCTCAGTGGAGTGCGTTTCGCTGTCGCCCTGGATCCGGCGACTCGCGGCATCCATGCTCTGCCGCGGGATCCCGAGCGCAGCGCGCGCGGCTTCGCCGACGACCCTGCCGCCGCCGGCCAAAACATATACCGCTTCTCCCCGAAAGCGGTGGAGATCCGGGCTAATGCTTTTCTTCTTGCGAGCATGATGCTGAGCATCAAGAAGTCTGTCATGTTCTGCGCGCGCCCGACTGACGAATGCATCGCCAGGCGCAAGTTCAGAGCAGCAGGGATTAATGTCGCCAGGTTCAAAATCACGTATTGCACCAATAGTTCGGCGTCTACGTCGGCCGTGGAGGCCCAGCTCGCTCGCGGGCTGCGCCCGCCATTAGTTGCATCGAAGGTGCTGCGATATATAGATTTTGGGCGGCAGTCTGGCGCAAGGCATTTTGCATCGCAGCGTTTACGCGGCCATTGTCGCCGGCCGCGTCGGTCAATTTGATCCGCTCCCTAGCGAGATTGCGGCGCGAGCGCGAAGGGTTGCGTCTCCCCCATCGGCCCCCCCGGCGCTCCTTCCCTCCCGAGAGCCTCCGCAACTTCGCCATCTTCGGGGCCCCAGGGACGCGACCTCCCACGCAATTGTTTCGAGGGCAGCCCTAGCGAGAGCGGCTCATCAAAGTGTCGAACTTCAGCGTTTCCGGCAGTGGCTCGACAAGTTGCAGCAGAGCGATGATGCTATCATCGAGTCCTTCGCCCACCCTGCCCTGCCCGGCCCCCTCCCAAACGTCGCGAAAGCGGCATCGTCAAGCTTCCCCCCCTAAAAAAAAACGCGAGACCAGCGTTACCCGTGCATTGATTATTTGATAGTGTCCGATGTTGGCTCCCTGAAGCTTCTCAGCCACATATTGCACTATGCTACAGTCGTCGGAGTAGCCTCTCTCCTCCTCTTCCATATGTTGCCATCACTGCCGTGTTCAAATGCATATGTGCATGTATACATATATATATATATATATATATATATATATGTATATCGATATATGTAGTTTTTGGACCACGCCGAGGAGGTTCCGTAAGGGGACCTTCGGTTGTGTTTCGGTTGTATGAACGTTGGGGCCGACTGTCTCTCGCGTTGTGTTTGTTGCCTTGTCGTCATCCCGTTCCTTCGGCCTCGGCCCCTCTCCCCTCTTTCGGCCTCGGCCCCTCTGCCGCCATTCCCCCGCGCTGCTGGGATGCCAATTCCCTGCGAGAGGCGCTTGCCGCAGGAGTGGGCATCGAGGCTCTGTTCCATGCGCTCAAGTCTGCGAGGCCCGCGCGCGCCGAGATCAGGAGGCGACCTGACTACCGGCGCACGCTCGACTCCGAGCAGGCGCGCGCAAGGCCCCCGCCATCAGGAGTTTGTTATGCGACGGCGGACCTTTCCCTCCCCCCATCCACTGTTCGCGTTACTCCTCCCCCCCCCTCCCCTCCTCCTCCTCCTCCTCCTCCTCCTCCTCCTCCTCCTCCTCCTCCTCCTCCTCCTCCTCCTCCTCCTCCTCCTGCTGTTCCTCGATGCAATTATTGCGCGGCGAAGGTGGGGGAACAGAGGGGGGACGGCGCCCCTCTTTGCCCCGCCCCCCACCCTCTACTTTCGCGCACCGCCGGAGAGGAGGGCGGCTGCGGGCCCGCGGCATGCCCAGCCGACGAGGACCGCCGCGCTGCCTTCGCCGCCGCCGTTCGCCGTCCTCGCCGAGGTTAGGGGGGTCCCAGATCTTACAGGGGATGGTTTTTTAATCCTGGCGTTTTTCCTTCGATTTCAGCGCCCGATGCCCGCCGTGGGGCCGCGGGACGATCAAAAATGCATCTGGAGCGGAACATTGCCCCCGAAGAAGTGGCCGGGACTTCCTGGGGCCGCGCGTGGAAGACATTGCGCTACCGAGGAACCCCGCATACTTATTATATGTCTGGCGTGATGATAGCTGAATGGCGATGGTGGCCGTTGCCCCGCCGATGCCGTTGGCGATTCTTGTCTTTGGGGGTCTGACACGCTGCGCGAACAACAACGAGGACAACGCCGCAGCGAAGCTTAACTTTTTTTGGCGTCGCGCAGGAAACGGTTCGCACGCCGCCGCTTCGACGGGAAATCCCCGGGGGGAAGCCCTGCGCGGGCCGCCCGAACAACGCCGTTCGGGGCGTTTCGCGCGAGGCGCAGCCTGTCGACAGAAAGTTCCGAGCTTGCACGCGCACGAAGCTGCGGGAAAGAATGGCGGAAACGTTCGGCATAAAGTTTCCGCGAGCCCCAGCGACCGGGTCAGGTTGCGGGCCCCCCTGGCCAACTGGGTAGAGGAATTTCACCGCTTCCAGCCGCTCTGCCAGGGCCGCCTGCCGCGACGGATGCACGACGCCTTCCGCGTCGCGCAAAGCGTCGATGCCACGATGCTCCGCGGCGGCTCCAAACGTCCATTTCCGAGGGGTGACGTCGCTCACCTCCCCGTGGCATTTCGCGCTAGCTTCACCGAGCACGCGCGCAAGCGCAAGGTGGGTATATCCGTCCTGTGAGAGGCATCATTGGTAGAGTACCTGTTGAGCGCCCTCCACAAGCCGGCATCGTCGCCCCTTCTCGACGGTCGGCGCTCTGGACCAGCAGCTCGATTGGCTGTGAACTCCCTGTGCCATATGACGGCTTCCGCATTTGCTTGGGACAGCGAGCTCTCGAGCTGGATTGATTCTAGCAGAACCTGCGACCGCGGCCCCCGCGACCAACGCTGGCCGGCCTCCACGGGCTCATGGGGCAGCTGAATGCGAGGAGTGCCAGCGGACCGAACAGTGGTCGCCCACAGAACTGCCGGGGACTGCTGCGGGGTGAAAGCTTGCGCGGGCGGTGCCTTCGTTGGCGGGGTTTCGCGGGCGTGGCCTTCGCGAAAGTGGCATGGTGTCTTGAGGCAGGTTTTGGGTCGGCGCCCGCGATGCCCGCCTCGTGAACTCGCTGAACCCTCGCTGGCGGCAGCCCTTCGTCCCGGGGAAAACCACCAGAGAGAGGGTCCTGCAGGTACCTCGCCAATCATTGTCTTCTCGCATCGACGGCGTTCCGTGTGCGCGGCAACTCATTGCACATGATGGGGAACGTCTCAGGCTACCAGTTCATCCGTTGTCGGTGGCAAGCATGAGATGCGCTGTGCATCAAGACGCCCCCACGCCTGACATCATACCCGCACAAACCATCCAGGTTCACCCCGGCGCCCATCTCTAGCATTGATTTCTTGAGTATTCGCGCGGCGGTGGCAGCGCGGACATATCGCATTTAAGCGCCATGACGGGGACCACATTTTTGACGGAAGGTCACCGGCGGGCGCCCGCGTTCACATATCGAGCGGTTTCGGTTGGCATGAGCCAGGGTGGCTACAGTTTTTGATGATGATGGTGATGATGATGATGATGATGATGATGACGATGGTGATGATGTTGATTATTATGATGTTGATTTTTGATGATGACGATGATGATGATGATGATGGTGATGATGACGATGATGGTGTTGCTGATGATGATGAGGAGGAGGAGTAGGAGGAGGAGGATGAGGATGAGGATGAGGATGAGGATGAGGATGAGGATGAGGATGATGATGATGATGATGATGATGATGATGATGATGATGATGATGATGATGATGATGATGATGATGATGATGATGATGATGATGATGATGATGAGGGCGCCCCCACTGCTCGAGTACCCTTCTGGGCGCGATAAAATGCAACGCGCGCTACGCCCTGAGAGACCCTACCCCCTGCGCACCCCCTATGGTTTCGCGACAGTGTCATTCCAGCTATACTTGGACGACCGGGGCGCATAGAGGCCGCGGTGAGGGACCACCTCCTGCGCACCCCCTTATGGTGTAAAGAGAGTGCCATTACGCCTGGGGAAATCTCACCCCATGCGCCACCGCCTACGGTGTTGAGAAAATGACACGCCTGCTACGCCCTGGACGCGTAGCGGCCGCGCTGAAGGATAATCCCCTGAGCACCCCGCTTGGTGTTGAGAAAGTGCCACGCTTGCTATGCCCTGGACGGCCGTCACGGATAGCGGCCGCCGTCAGAGACCACCCCGTGCGCACCCTCTATGTATGGTATCGAGAAACTGCCACGCCTGCCTTGTCCGAGACGACCGGGGCGCATAGCGGCCGCGCTGAGAGACCACCCCGTGCGCACCCCTTTTATGGTGCCGAGAAAATGCCTCCCGGACGACCAGGGCGCATAGCGGCCGCCGTCAAAGACCACCCCGTGCGCACCCCTCACGGAGTCGAGAATATGCCACGCCTGCTTTGCCCTGGACGACCGGGGCGCATGGCGGCCGCGCTGAGGGACCACCCCCTGCCCTTTCCTTTTGGTGTCGAGAAAGTGCCACGCCTGCTTTGCCCGAGACGACCGGGGCGCATAGCGGCCGCGCTGAGGGACCAGCCCCCGCGCCGCAACCCCCCCCGGTGTTGATGAGAATGTGCCGCGCTTGCTATGCCGTGGACGGCCGTCAGTGATAGCGGCCGCCGTCAGAGACCACCCCGTGCGCCCCCTTTATATTGTCCAGAATGCGCCACGCCTGCTCTGCCCTGGACGACCGGGGCGCACAGCGGCCGCCGTCAGAGACCACCCCGTATTGTGTTGAGAAAATGCCGCGCCTGCTCTGCCCTGGACGACCGGCGCCGTCGGAGACCAGCCCGTATTGTGTCGAGAAAATGCCACGCCTGCTTTGCCCTGGACGACCGGGGCGCTTAGCGGCCGCGCTGAGACACCACCCCGTACGCACCCCGTATGGTGTCGAGAAAGTGCCACGCCTGTGAAAGGAACCCGTCTCATTCCCTCATCTCTACTCCTCACTCGCCCGTTCGCCTGCCTTATCGGCTCAGGTACTAGAAGACCAGGACGTTGGTCGCACAGAAGGAAAATTTCCATATCTGTCCCTCCTTCCTCTACCTACGGATCAGGGGGTTCTGTACCTTTGTACTCTAACCCCATACTCATGTTATCAGCTCTTCAAGCTCACCATTCACCGAATCCCGCGTCGCGATCTCGCACGCAGCCGCGATGGATCCCAACAAGGGGTCCGCCGCGGCTCCGCGTGCGAGCTCTCCGACGGCGCGTGGGCTCAGTGCAGTTGTTGGAGAGCCTTGGAGGTGACCGCGCGGGTGTCCCCGATAGATACCCCCCCCATCTCCGACGACCCCGAGGCGCGTCTCGCGGCAGTACTTCGCCGCCTCGATGCCCGAGGGGGGACCAGAGGAGGATCAGGAACAGGCGTAGGAGGAGTTAGTGCCAACACGCCCAGCTTCGGCGGGCAGCGGTTATTTAACGAAGCAGGGGTTCCCACCCCTAGCTTAGAACCTCCTGCCTCCTCGGCCACGCCAGGGGGCCTGACGGCCCCTGGCTGCGAGCCAAACCTCGATCCTATCTCTCCTCTTCCTTTGCCGGGAGCAATCCCTACTGCGTCGGGCGCAAGCCCCGCTGGTCCCGTTACTTCTGGGCGCTTCCGCGCATCCCGCCGTTGGAACAGTGGCACTGGCCCAGCCAGTCCAGCCACCGCCCCTGCATCGGCGCACGCGGCAGCATTCGAGGAGCTCGGAAGACCAGTGGCGGCGCAGCCGCAGACGCAGAACCCCGAGGCATCATCATCTCATCAGACACCGCACGCGCACACACGGGGCCCTAGCCGCAGCTCGTCTCAGCGCAACCGTCGTGAGGTCGCGGGCCCCTACGACGAGCGCAGGTCGTGCTCGCGCGCGGCCTCTCAGAGGCCACGCACTCCTCGCGAGAGAGTGCCACAGGGGGCTGACGCCCCGCACCTCCTTTTCTCAGACGACCTGTCGGCGGCGACGCCCGCTGCAGGCGATCTCGCTGAGCTTCGAGACCAGGATGAAACCTTCGTGTCCAGGCAGTGCTCTGAACTGGCGCAGAGTGTTCAGACTAACGCTGCACAGACTGCTGCGCTTCGCCAAGAGTTCGACGGCGCCATAGCGATCACCGATTCCAGGATCGCCGAAGCTCGCCGAATCTTAGGTGAGTTGCAGTATCAGGTCGACCGTGAAGTGTCACACTCAGGTGAACGGTGCGCGACGGTCGACCACCTGCGCGACTACCATGCGCGGATGGAGCAGCAGTTTGTCGTCGTCCGCGACACGGGCGTGTCCGCGGTCAGGATCTTGCACGACGAGATCCACGATCAGCTGCGCAATCGACCCCCTCCGACCGAGGCGCGCGACCTCGGCGACGTCCAGTTCCAGATAAATGCTATTCATTCGCGCGTGGAAAATACTACGGCTACGCTTCGCGCCGAAGCAAGTGCTACCTCTTCGACACTGCTCGGAGTGGTGCAGAATACTGAAAGAATCCTCGCTCAACGGCTTGATGCGACCAACGCTGTTGTGCAGCCCCTCACTGACCGAATCTCTGTGATCGAGCGGCGTTTACCTGGAGCACAGGACGCCCTGGCAGAGTTGCGTGTTCGACGAGCCCCGACTGGCCAGCTGGGATCTCCTCCTTCGGTTTACGATTTCGCCCCCTTCACTGACAGGTTGCAGGAAGTTGGGACGGCGGCGGGCCGCGCGCAGTCTGAGCTCTCCCAGGCCCTTCGGGACAGAGATGCTGAAAAAGACACGTGTTGAGAAGTTCCTCACGCGTTTGGAAAGTGAGATGGAGGCGCACAACATCCGCCCCCGAG